TTACTAGCCTCTGCTTATCTGGCCCAGAGGGTTAAAAAAAAAAAACCAGGGGCCACTGGTGAAAAAAAAATGTCCTTAGCAGCTTGACATCTGATATGAGGCTCACTGGGCTACTGTAACATGAAGCTGATTTTTAGAAACAGTAAACAAGTTCAGTGTTTTGGTCAGTGGTTTAATACTGGAAAAGCCTGTCTAGATTCACAAGTAGCAAACTTGATGGAAAACAACAAGGAGAAGAAGGCAAAGGAATGAATACTAAGTCAGCCTGACTATACAGCATTAGCAGGAAAAAACATAAATTTAATCTGCGACTAGGGTGATTGCACGAGAGGGTGAACCATGATAAGTGAAATGTATCAGCATATGACATAATCTTCTCCTTCTATGCTTGTCCTTGAAAGGGCTGGTGGTACCCTGTGTTGTGGTTTCCAGCTAGGCTGTGATATCCTGGCCATTCAGCAAACCTTTATTTAGTAACCTTTTACGATATGCTTATTCAGGGGCTCTGGATACATTCCCTTTCCCTCACTGTTCAGGAAGGTTAGCCCAGTCAACAAATACAGGCATAGAGTCAAAAGTTAGTTAAAACACACAAATATCACAGGTCTGCTGTAAAGAATGACAATGCAATCATTTGAAAGATGAATCTTGAGTTTTACAATAATTTTTAAGTTTTACAGCTTTAAGAAGACTCCCTTTATTTCTCAGTTTTACAACTTTTACTCGGTTTTACAGTACCATTATAACTTACTTTACTCATCAGTTTCCCAGCATTATTTACAGGTCAGTTATTAAATTATCACAACGCCTGATGTTTTTGAATATTTCTTCTCATTCTATCCTTGCAGCTGTGACATTTTAATGGTCACATACCTGCTGGCAGGCATGTTATATGTTCAAGTGATGTTTTAAAGTGGACAGCAGTTGCTACTACTGTATTCTTTAATCAAAACTGTTTTAATGTACTTGTTGAAACACTTTTTAAGGGCAATGTGGATGGAGAAGGGGGTAAGGGATTAATTTTTCCCCTGACAGGGAAAATCATTTCTTCACTTTACCAAGGAGTGAATCCTAAGTTATCTGAATGAAAGCTCAGCAACATGACCACATGAACGGATGCATGTATCTTTTTAAAGTAATAATTATTATATTTTGTGTGCATACAGCACCCACATGTGTAATACAACCTATATATTTTTTGCCCAAAATTAAGAAACAGATATTTCACAACACATTCCATGTATAAGATGACCTTTATTTTTTTTCGGTCAAAATTAAGAAATAGATATTTCAAACACATTCTATGTATAAGATGACCTTAATTTTTTTTTTTCCACCCAAAATTAAGAAACAGATATTTCAAATGCATTCAACGTATAAGATGACACCCCAATTTTAAACTTAAAAATTTGGGAAAGCATATCATATAATACACAGAAAAATAACGGTACTTACTCATTTTAACATTTTTACAAACCTAGGCCGGGGTGATGCTAACTACATACCCAATGAGTCCCAATGGGGGTATAAAATACGGGTGTAGCATTACATACATAATATAGTTTACGGCATGGAAAAGAGTCCTTTACCTATTACTTTATTTCAACCTAGCTTGGCCTTTTCAATGTCCTTTTGTCATTCAACAGGGAACATTAAGCAATGGCTAGACAACATACTTCCTGTAAATTCTACTTCTTTCTCATTGTTCGTTCAAGTGATGTAAGTTGCATTGTGCCTGTCTTCAACACAGCTGAAATATTTATGCCTTTTGGCAGACATATCCAACTTCATTGGGTTGCCTTACCGGTTGATTTAATGGGACAAGACAGGTAGTTATTTGTGTGGTGTCTTTTTTATAACTTTATCTACAGGTGTTGCCCCTAGAGAACTGTCCAGGGTGGCCATCCAGGCAAGATGGGAACAGAGCATGGGCATTCCCCGCCATCTGAGGGGGCTTCCTTAAATGCAGAGCTATCACATAACGCTCTGGTCCCACCTAAGGAATCACCCCATCCTGCAGGTTTAAAAGCACTGATTTCTCTTTTTAATTACTGTGAAATGGTCCAAGGACTGAGAAAACAAGGACACACAAGAGAAACTCTATGACAAACACTGATTAGAAGCCAAAGAGGCTGGATTCCATCCATGACTCCAAAAAAGATGATTGTGCAGGATAAAATGAATGAATGAATAAACTGCACCCCATGTGGAACATAAACAGTGTGGCAGGATGATGATGAAATGGTCCAGGACACACAGAATTAAACAAATACTCACTTGATAATGCTGTGACATACAGCAGAATGGAACCAACCCATGATGTATCAAAGTGGCTCTGATTAAACATGTCTTTAAAGATCACATGGAACACACCCAGGCTGTATGTGATGCCACATATAATGAACTGTGTAAAAAAGGTAGCAACCACAACAGCCCAACACCAGCAGCCATCTTTGGGTGCCATCGTTGGGGATGAATGTACAGTTGTCACAATAAACATCTAGAGGCTGGAAATAAAATAAACATACATATCAAACACCCATTGCCTCTCCACATGTACTTTGTTTAGCGTTTCACCAAACTCTTTGTGCCTGTGCATGTGAATATAACACTGCTAGCTAGTCCTGCCTTTTAAAATACTGGGAGTGAATGCCTGTTTCACATGTGGGTTCCAAGGTCCCATTCTGAGGTGAAAAAAAGAAAAATTAACCCACTGGCCTCCTAACAAGCATGTGATACTGGGCGATAATGTAAGGGTGTTTCCTTCAAAGCCCAAGTGCATCTGTCTGAGAGGCAAGGAACGAATACTCTGCATACAAATACACCAGATCTGTAAAATGGACATGCATGCAAAACTCAAGATCTAGAACAAGACTAAAGTCCAGAAGTGGACAAAAAACCAGAACCTTCCTCTGGAGTTTACAGCTGGTCAACGTGCAGAATAAGAATAACATTGCCTCTCCTCACGCACTTGTTCAATGTTTTCACAAAACACTTTGTGCCCGCATATGTAAATACTATAATTCTAGCTACCATATCTCCCTGAAAATAAGCTCTGGTCTTATATTAATTTCTGCTCCAAAAGGGCTTATTTTTAGGAGATGTCTTATTTTTTTAATGTAAACAATTGACATTTATTTTGACATTTACATATAAAATTCATGTTAGTAAAATTATGATTGCATTTGTCATATGAGAACAAGTTGGCACAGAACCAATTCTGAATTACATGCAAGGACAACAAATCAAATGGTCTGCCCATTTAGAGAGAATGTCTTGTGATGTGATATCATACAAGGCATAAATCAAACAGGAAAAGGACATAGAGCATGAGGCTGACCAAGAACAAGATGGAAAGTTAACATCAGAGAAACTCTACAACAGTGCGATGTGTCTGCGGTTAAGGCGGCTAGAACAGCAAGAAGCAGAACCTTGTAACTCTCTTGATCCCTGAAGTATTAGAAGAGGAAGTGAAGGTCAATATCTGCCTCTTCTTTTCTTTACTGCTTTTCCTAAAGCACTAAAGCATTTGGGGTTTGAGGTTTTTGAACAAAGTATCAATATCATGGCACACGGGTAGTAACCCATAAGCGCTTCATTCTTCGTCTAACTGAAGTCTTCTGAGTCCGAAGAAGTTCAGCACAGTGCATAGGCTTTGTAGCACCAGCGAGGATCCTGAAATACTTTAAGTAGATTTTTAACTCAAAACTGTGCCCAGGCAGTGCCGTTAGGCTACTCTTTTCTATTTCCAACTGCCAAGAATGCACATGTGCACAGGGGGAATTACTAGAAGTCCAAGTCCACTGAAAAAATCCTAGCCCTTACTGGGAATTGAACCTGGTACCTCTAGCACTCGGGGCCGACACCATGCCTCAAGACCACACAACCCTCCTGAAACATTTAATATTGCCAACATTTTTCAGTTTCTGAGACATGATGAATATTGTTTACGGGTCATATTTTTCTTCGATGTTCATATCTTGTAGCATATTAGGCAACCTTTGTCTTACTGATTTATGGCATTTAAGAATATTTTGATCTCAGTTAAATTCAAAAGTCATCTTTTTCTTCTTTACAGTTTGCAAAATAGTTCATGACTCACACTTAAAATCTTTTCTAAAAATTGCCATAGAAAAAGGGGAGGGTTAGTCAGGGTTTAATTGCATCATGTCACTGCTGCTTCTGGTTAACAACACATGGGGAGAGTTAGTCAGGGTTTAATTGCATCATGTCACTGCTGCTTCTGGTTAAAAATACATGGGGAGAGTTAGTCAGGGTTTGACTGCATCATGTCACTGCTGCTTCTGGTTAACAACACATGGGGAGGGTTAGTCAGGGTTTAATTGCATCATGCCACTGCTGCTTCTGGTTAACAACACATGGGGAGGGTTAGTCAGGGTTTGACTGCATAGTGAGAATTGCTACTTAAACCACTTTTTTAAGGACTTTTATTATTATCCATAAGACTCAAACATTTATTACTTAAAAGTATGAGGGCGCTTCAAAAAATAAAAATGTCAACAGTGTGACAAAAGTATGAAGGGGCTTCAAATAATAAAAATGTCAACAGTGTGACAAAAGTATGAAGGGGCTTCAAATAATAAAAATGTCAACAGTGTGACAAAAGTATGAGGGCGCTTCAAATAATAAAAATGTCAACAGTGTGACAAAAGTATGAAGGGGCTTCAAATAATAACCTTAACAGTGTGACAGAAATTACAATAACCATGCTACTCTCAATACTATTATTAAGAATGTCAAGAGTATTAAGCACATGACACCACAGTGCAGACAAACACAGTGTCTGCAGAATGCCCTTTCGTAATAACTGCTGAGGTTATAAAGTGTTTAAGTAACACTGTGTCCGGCTTGCTAGCGTAGTTGACTAAACCGGATTGCGCTGTGACCGGGTGACGAACTCCTTGTGGTCCATGTTCACGCCCGGGGGTAGGCAGAAAAGCCACATTTCTCCCAGATTTAGGGTATTTATCATGGAATCAAGGCCGAAGGATTGTGATATCCATAATACTGAGCCTAAGGGTTAACAACTCATAGCTTCTGGATACTACACTGTCTGGAACACTAAAATTCTTTCAGCACTATTTCTTACCTTAACATTTTCTGACTTGGCATTTACATTCTTTAGAGCAATAGTCTCTGAGTCTCAGTCAACACAGCAGAAATACAGAAAGGATTGAGGTGAAGTAACCAGGGGTAAAAAAAAAGTTTAATCTAACTGAAGAAATGAACAAAAGAAGTCAGCCAATATGTGCCATGCATAAAATAATCAATAAACATATGCTGAATTGCCTGGTACTGAAAAGATTTCCCTGCATGTGTATTCCAGGGCCCATTTTTTTTTTTGGGGGGGGGGGGGGGGGGAAATACTGCCCTCTAAAAGGCTTGTCATAAAAGGTGACTAATTAGGAGTATGCTGCAATCTAGTGTGTTTGGTCGCAAACTGAAAATATCACAGCCAAGCTGTAAATCACAATAAAAAGTGCCAGCAGCCCGTTTAAGGCTGGATGCAAAAGAAGAAGAAAGACTTCCCCATGTGGGTTTTGTAGCTGGCGTTGGATAGGGCACACACTGAGAAAACAGGAGAACAGCATAACTAGAATGTCTTTGCATTGGAACCCACAGGGGCATAGGAATAAAGGAAGGCCAAAAAACACATGGAGAAGAGAGCTGGAGAACGAGGTTAGAAAGATTGGGAGGACATGGGGAGAGCTCCATGCAATGGCGAAGGATAGAACGACTTGGCGTGAGTTAGGTTGAGGGCCTATGCTCCATTGGGGGATAGAAAGGCAGACGAGAGAGATGTGGGTTTTGTAGCCCCACTGTGGGGGAAATCAAGAACAGACCTACTACCTCCCTATCAAGCATGCTGTAAGAGTTGACTAATTAGGGTTTCCTTTGAAGTCTGAGTGCATTTGCCTGAAAGGCAAGGAATCAACAGTCTGCATACAGTAAAGTCAGATCTGTTAGAACAGTTGTGCATACAAAACTCAAGTCCTGGAACTAGACTGGAGTTCAGAACAAACAGAACTGTCCTGAGTTTGTTTCCAGCCAGTGAACACGAAGAAGAAGAAGAAGAAGGACTGATCATCACCCAGACCCAACAGAAACATCTGAACTGTTAAATATACCGGGCAACAACCTCATCAAACGGTGCTATATAATCAGGTAAAGGGGAGGAACAAGAGGCCAGAAGTATAAGATAACCACAAGCATGTAAAGTATGCAAAACTGGTATGCTGACTGCTTGAACTTTGGACCCCCCCCACTTCAGATCCTACGTGCTACTGATCAGCTTTTTTTCCCCACTTATCTATTCGCTATGAGAGAACAAGGAAACAACCAAGAGGGAAACATTTGTTGGCTAATTAAAAGGAATGAGGTGAATAACTAACTGTTCAAGAGATGTTCATGAAAATGACAGAAAAGAACAGTTCAGACCAGAATCATTATCACTGTACAGTGGCTTCTTGAGTCCTCTTTCCTACACAGAATATATAGAATGATGTAGCTGACTCTCCGTATTAGCTCATTCTGCATGCACACACGCGCGCTCGCGTGCACACACACGCACACAAAACTCTGACACTGACTTACATAAATCATTTAAACTCATTAAATACAATAAACATAAATCATTTAAACTCATTAAATACAATACAACTGCTGCCAAATTTCAAGTTGGAAAACAATTACAAATAGGTTAACAATTAATGCGTTTTTCAAATTTAACACACAAAAAAAAACAGTTTTATATTTTGCCAACTACAGCTGAATTAACAGACATATTGCAGGTTGAAATAAAATAAAGTCTACTAAAGTAAGTAGAGGGAGTATAGGGAGCTGTCGTGGTCTAGCGACTAGAGACTCGCCTGCAGATCGGATGATTGTGGGTTCAGATCCTGAGGTGGGGCCAGACTTTTTTCAAAAAATAACCTTGGCTGCCAGGTCGACCTAGCCCTGAGTGGGTACCAGGTACATTCCTGAGAAGTATAGGTGGCCAACGTCATGCTGACCACATCACCCACCAAGTGCCGTTTGGTATTTTTAATATAGGTCTAGCCCTATATACCCAATACGCCTGAAGGCGGGAAAAAAGGGTCCTTTACTTTAAAGTAAGTACATTAACATTTGTGTGTGTGTGTCTGTGTAGGGGTAAACAGTTTAACCAGACATACCACAGTGAACCACGGGTGAGGAAAAGACAGTTGTAGTGGATAGGTCATAAACTGAGAAAACCAGATAGTATAGACTGAGATGCATAGATGCAGAACCACACACACGATGGTGCACCAGGATCATGTCATACAGGTCACGACCTATCTACACCTCTCCTAGAAAAGGTTCCAACTTATGGGTCTGGTCAATTTAGACAGGATCAATAATGAGAACCGGTAAACCAACAGTCTGCACACAAATAAGCAAGATGTGTAAAATGGATGTGCAAGCAAAACTCAAGTCCTGGGACTTCTAGACAGAAGT